TATTCCAAGTCCAGCGAGAAAAATCATTATTATATAAACTAATAACATAGTAGTATTTATCTTAGCATCATCTTCGTCGTCATCGTCACTTTGTCTCGTCTCCACCTTTTAAAACCTCCCAAAAGTCTCTCTAAAATCAAATCCACACTCCAAAAACATATCATCTCTCTCTGTAATCTCCGATTTGATTATGGGTTTTAGTAAAGAAGAGATTAGCAAAACCAGAAAATTTTGGTCATCTTTATGGAGAGGAATCAAAACTATATTCGTTTTGTTCACAATGTTCTTCTCTTTTCTCCTCGTTTCTGCTCCGATCTTCCTCGCCGTCGCCGACGCTCTCCTCCCTTCTGCTCTCCTCCACCGTCTCTCTTCTCCGGCGAATCTCTCTTCTCATCTCACCAATTACGATTTCCGTCACTCACTCATCGATATTCCCTTAATCTCCATCGTTAGATCCGCCGTTATACTCTGTAAGTAACAAAAAAATCCAAACTTTGCAAAAAATACTCTGTTTCTGAACTTAGAACTCATAACTCTGAATCATTTTCTCTGTTTTTCTGAATTAATAGATTTTTTTGGGATGATTGAGTGAAGAACACAAAACCCAGAAATCGAATACTTTATTTCACACATTCTTTATAATAAATTCGAGATCTTTTGGAGATTTACCCAGAAATCGAGTACTCTGTTTCACAACTTCTTCATAGGAAAAAAAAAATCGAGACTTTTTGGAAGTTTTTACACAGAAATTGAATGGAACTTGTTTAAATTTTGGTGAAACAGGTGTTTATGGGCTTTGTGACGGACCAAAATTATCGAGAGGACCGTATTTGACAATAACGATGATTTGCTCTGTTTCTTCACTGATTTACGTATCGTTAAAAGCTGCGTTTGTGTTCGGCGAGCCGGCGATCGGAGACGGTGGAGGTAATTATTTCCGAGTAGCTGAAGTTGCTCTGTTTCTATGTTCGTCGGTTTTAGCAATCGGTCACATCGTTGTAGCTTATAGAACAAGTTGTAGAGAAAGAAGAAAACTCCTCGTCTTCAAAATCGACATTGAATCTGTAAGTCCACTTCTTCATTGTTTGATTTTCTTCGCCGTTACAGAAATTTATTACTTATTAGTATTATTTTATTTAATTCGATTTTGATTGATTATAGTGAAAGATAGAGCCAATAATAGTACACAAGTTGCATTATTTTTTTTTTTCAAATCTAGGATGAAGTTAGGTTTTTAACTTTTTTTACCTGCACTATAGATATCATAATCAGACTGAGTCAGAAATAGCATGTGAATGTAATGGTCAATGTTTTGAATGATTTAACAAAATTCAAAATTGACATATTTGGCCCTTTGAGATTCTAGAATCTTGAAGAGGAGGTTGTCTTTTCAACTTGTTTGCTTGGTAAAGACTCTAGCCTATTTAGAGGGTTTTGATTTTTCACTTGCATTAAATGACTAACACAAAACAAAATTGAAGTTGAACTAAGACTTTTTTTTGTAATGTAGATTTTATAGGTTAGAAATTCATGTGGGAACCGTGTTGTGTCTGTGTAACCTAATTTTCTTCATCCTTTAGATGAAAAAATGCTATTTACTTGAATAATCCGACATCACACGTCACACCTCACGCATGCTTCATGATTTGTTCTCATAGAAACAAAATTTCCCATCTCCTTTTCATAAAAATGATGAAAACACTTTAGATATTATTTTGTCTAATGAGAAAAATTAATAGGGTTTTGTAATGTTTATTTTTCAGGTTTCGGCATGTAAAAACGTGTATCCGAGATATCAAAAGATTATCCAACAAGAGAGACTCAAATAGAGACGTATTTCAAGAGAACAATATATACTTGTACGTATATGTATACACACACATGACACATATCGT